CTGGGACTAAGGCTGAGCCAAAGTCCAGACCAGGAGAATTCTTCATTTCCAGTCCAAGGGTGCTGGGTCTGCCCTGGTGGCATTTTTTTGATTGGATTTGGGGCAAACCTCACCTGTTTTGTCCTTTCCAGCAGGATCTGGTGCCAGCTGATTCCCTGGAGCCTGCAGGAGGGTGCTGTGAACATGCCAGGAAGTTTTCCACACTAGAAATAACCTGTCCTTAAGGAAATTCCCATTCTTTTTTGGGAAATGAGGAGTGCACTGCTCCTCCTGCAGGAAAAAGCTTGTTTAAATCTGTCCTTGGGGTTATGATGGGTCTGAAAAACATTCCAGTGGTTTTTTTACAGAATTGCCTATAATCAGAGGATTTCCATGTCGCAGGCTGCTGCTTCCCAAGGTGTGGGGTGATGTGGGATCTCTCCCTGCCCTTGCTGAGGCACTTGCAGGCTCTGGAGCGCAGTTGAGATGCAGGAGTGCACCTGCCGTGCCTCCAGCATGAAAGGAGCAACAATAACTGCATCTAATTATTCATTTTCCTTGCAAAAGTCCATTGTGAGGAGATGTCTCCTGCGACCCAGAAATGAGGTCTAGAGGTGCTTAAGTATATTTTGTTTAAGAGAGCAGACAAGCTCGAATAAGATGTTCAGAATTAATGGTACAGCTCTCCTGATAATTTCAGGAGAGGTTTGGATGAAAAGTTAAAAATACAGGTGAAGTGAATAATAACACCCAGGGAGATAAAGAGCTGCTGAGAGTGTCCCTGAGTTGCAGTGAGAGGGAATTGAATCAGAATTGGCAGGGTATCCATGGAATAAAGGATGGGAGGGAGAAGGAGGCTCTGGCAGAGCTGGGGATGGAGCTCGGAGTGAAATTTGGGCCGGGCTTAGTTTTGTGCAACAATTCTGGTTAAACTTGGCATCCACAGCACTGAATCCAGTTGTGCATTGTGGAATTCCAGAATGGTTTGGGTTGGGAAGGACCTTCAATCCCATCCAGTGGCACCCCATCCATGGGTAAACTTCCATGGATGATCCAGGTGTGTTCTTCTCCTTGGATTCCATACTGACTGCCAGCTTTGATTCCTCCACCCCTGGAAATGCTGCTGGAATCTGCCCCTGACTCCTCCATCCCTGGAATTGCTAACATCAGCCAGGCTGGATCCTGGCTCCTCGTCCTCGTCCTCCTCCCAGCCACTCCTGTAGGTCTCACTTTGGGTTACAGCCAGGGCAGGAAAAGGTGGATCTGAGCTCCAGGAAGATGAAATTTCAGGGAGATTCACACAGAATTCGTGCTGGATGCTCCAGGAGGAGCCAGGATCCAGCCTGGCTGATGTTAGAGATTATCAGCAGAGATCCAAGGGGGTGTCAGAACAGAGATGAAATGAACAGAGAGGTGAAATTAAATCAATACAAGCAAAAAGGGGGAAAAAAAAAAAAGATAAAACATCCCCAGGGATGTCCTTTGCTTTTATTTGAAACTGGTGTTTGACTGCACTCCCATTCTGGGCAGCACCAGGGCACCTTCAAATTCATATTTAAATCCATCATCTCCTTGTATTTCACTTGAAATAACAGGATTTCAGGTGGAATTCCTGCCTTTTAGTCATGACCTTTGACTCTTGCAGCATCCACATGAGGAAATCTCATTGTATTTGGGTCCATTTAAGGAGAACTAATGGCCAAATTGAGGATAATCAAATTTCAGGGTGCTCAAAATCCATGTGCAAACATCTCCTCCTGCTCCTCCAGTGCTTCTGCCTCATTTTGTGATACTTCATTGATTTTTTTCTTCCCTTCCTTTTCCTCCTCTCTGCGTGGAAACAAATTAAAGCAGGAATTGGGATTGTAAATAGATAATGGGACGTGAATGCAGAGTAATCAGTGCCAGTCATGTACAGCCATACTAATTGTGCCAGGGGAAGGAATGGGATAAATATTTAATGCCTGGATTCGGTGGGAAGTGAGAGAGCAAGGAAAGAAATAAAGAGTTGAGAATTCCTCACTTCAGTGCTTTTTCTCAAAAAGGAGTTTTGATGGCATTAACCCTTCCCTGTTATGAATAAAGGAATTGTGTTTAATGTGGAGGCTTTGGTGGCACTCAAGGGGAAAACATCCCAGGTTAAAAACACTGCTGGGAAGGATTTGGGATAAAATCAATTGTTTGAAATGAAGTTTTTTTCCCTCATGCTGAACAGAGTTCAGGTGGGGCTTGGGGGCAAGGTGATGACAGCAAAGGAAAATACAAAGTAAGACAAAGATCTGCCCGCCCTGTCCCCAAACCCCTGCTAGGAAATTTGGGATGATCCCCTGGTTTTCTGGTTCTCCTCCCAGCTGAGCATCCTTGCCATTCCCTCTGAGATCCATCCCCAGCAGCCAGGACATTTGCATGGTGAGGCCATGCAGCTGGAATTAAATATTCCATTATCAATGAACTATTAATGTGCCTAATGATCACTTGAAACCTGTGGGAGCCTCCAGGTGAAAAGCTGGTGGGAGCTGCAGGTGGGCATGGAGTTTTCCATGGAATGCTGAGCTCCAGCCATGGTGTTTCTTACCCAGAACATTTTCACCCCTTTTCCCACCGAATCTGGGGCTGGGCAGGGCCTTTTAGGGGATGGAAACCTTCACCCTGCAATTCTGCTGGATTTCAGGTGAGAAAGGGGACAGGAAAGGGAGTTCTGGAGGGAACAGAATCATGGGGGAGTCTGTCAGGGTGTGCCTGGCAATGAGAGCTGATGGGGATTTCTTGGCTGATTCTGTCTTTTCCAAAAGCTGTCCATGTCTTGAGCAAGTGACACTGGAGCTGAGGAAAATTTCCATGCAGGAAAGTCAAGGAAAGGTTTTCCTTCTCCCTGAATCTTCTGTGGGTGCAGAACACAGGGGCTGTCATGTGTTTTTTTGTCCCTTTTCCTGGTTTTGCCTTCAGGAATTTCTCCTGCTGTTGCAAAGGCAGGAGGAAGTGCCATCTGTTAGAGTTTTCCAGATGATTTTCCAAGTGTTCATTCACTGGCTTGGTGGAATTTTAACAGTTCAAGTATTTGGGATCCTTGGCAGTTTGTGGTGGGATGGGAAAACCACCACAGTCTGGAGAGTCAATCCTGGGGGGGCTCAGCCTGGAGAAAAGGAGGCTCAGGACAGGTTGGGTTTGAGGGTCCTGGAGATCTTTTCCAACCTTAATAATTCCATGAGCCTCTGGAGATGAAGTTTCCGTGTCAGTGGATTCCCAGTCCTCAGGCTACTCAATCCACCCTCCAAGGATGTGCTGATCAAAAACAAAAGTAGGGATGGGGACAGCAGAAGTTGAGCCTCATTCAGGCAGCTTTGGTTCATTGTTGTCTATTTTTTGTCTCAGGCAATTGAATTACAGATGTGAAAGTGAAATTTGGCTCTGCATATCTAAAGATTAATTCTTTAGAATTAATTATTATGAATTATATTATTATTGATATTTTAATTATAATTAGTAATTATTTTGCTGCTGCTGCAGAATGAACAATGAATTGGCCCTTGGGGCTGAGAGTATTAAGTTTAAGGCTGTTGTCATAACAACCAGCCAGGGGAACTTCCTCAGTATGGGTTTGAGGCATCCCATATTCCATCTCAGCCCCAAATGTGTTTGTTAGAACTCAGTTGTTTGAGAAAGTTTCCAGTTCAGTCAGTTTAGCTGCCTTTGAGTTCCCCAAGGATGGCAAAAAGCCAAAGAGGATCCATTTCTGCACCACCTCGTCCTCCTGAAAGGGCTGGGCCATGGAAACCCATCCGTGGAGAAGTGATGGGGAACAGCCTTAAAGGCCAGCTTTAGAAGCCTCAGAGTGCTGCAGGATCCAGGCACGGGATAATCCAGGCTTTGGGTTGTACTGTAGGTGGCAGAGATGCTTTAGTTATGCACTAATCACCCTGCAAGCTCATTAACAGGCCGGGAGGGCAGAGCAGCCCCTCTGCCATTAATTAACGCTGCCAATCCCAGCCTGGCTCCCACTTGGAGGAGCTGAGGTCACCTCTGGATGGGCTGGGTGACTAAAGGACTCTTCAGATGCTCCATGGGCTGTCAGATCTGCTGCTAAAAAATGTTTAATAATCAAATCTCAATTACCTTCCAGATGGAACAGATTCCCAGGATCCTTTTGCCTTCATTAAAAAAAAAAGCAGGGGGTGTTGGAATGTCAAAAATGGGTGTTGGAATGTCAAAAATGGGTGTTGGAATGGCAATAAAAGGTGTCAGAATATCAATAATGGGTGTTGAAATTGCAGTAATTGTTAAATAAGTGATGATTGGGGATTAAAATAATTAACTTTCATTAACAGGAACAGGGTTCCATGGGAGCTTTAGTGTCCCCACCATGGTGAATGTCACCATTGTGGGCCACAGTCCAAGTGCTGTGACTTGGGAAAAATGTTGGTCCAGTCTAAATCTTGGCTTGGGGCAAAACTCAGCAAGGAAGTTTTAGCTGGAGTTAAATGACAGAAACAACATCATATTTTAAAAGGAGATAAAATTGTTAACAGATATGAAGGGCTGCTGCTGGGCTCTGGAGCTGCCCACCTCAGTTGCTGGCTGGAATCTTCCTCAGGTTGGGATTGGTCATAAATAAAATAAAAAATAAAGAGGTTCTTGCCATCCTTTCCCTTCCTGAGTTAAAATAAACGGTGTTTTCTTTGTAGCGGGGTTAACCAGACATGAAGAGAGGAACTGAGTAAGCCTGGGAATGTTCTTTGCCTTAGGAAAAAAGGAATGGAAACCTCTATAATTACAAACACGGAGCTCTCCAATGGGAATCCCAGCTGGAAACACCCCTGGAGTGGGGAGGGTGCTCTCCTTCGGTGTGTGGTACTGCGGAGGAGTTCCCACATTCCCGGAGGAGGAGGATGGCCTGGAGAGCCGTGTTTGGGGTGTGCTCCCCGGTCCTGATGTGGCTGTGCTGCTTGGTCTCTTGCAGGTTCACTGGGATTTGGGGTGTGCTCCCCGGTCCTGATGTGGCTGTGCTGCTTGGTCTCTTGCAGGTTCACTGGGATGAATTTGCCCGCCCCTGTGATCAGCAGCAAAAATTGGCTGCGGCTCCACTTCACCTCTGACGGCAACCACAGGCAGAAGGGCTTCAGTGCCCAGTACCAAGGTAAAGAGAGAAATAAATTAATGCCCTTGTATGGCCTCACCCATCCCAGCTTTCCCAGGAATCCGCAGCTGCCTCCCTGCATGATCCTGCTGCTGTTCATTTTCTATCTGAAATCCCCCTGAGCGTGGATTCCATGGAAAAACCCAGACTGGTTTGGGAGGGACCTTAAAACCCATCAGTGCCATGGGCAGAGCACCTTCCCCTGTGCCAGGCTGCTCCAAACCCCTCCATCCTGGCCTTGGGCACTGCCAGGGATCCAGGGGCAGCCCCAGCTGCTCTGGGAAGCGCATCTCAGCCCCTTCCCACCCTCTCTGGGGAGAATTCAGGATCAGGATAAAAAGATTCCAGGACTGGGGTGTTCAGGTGCTGTTGAGGGACAGGAAATCCCTTGGCAGTGAAGATGCTGCTCCAAGGCTGTGGCAGCTCCTGGTGGGACCAGAGTGGGACCAGAATGGATTGAGTGGATTCCTTGGAAGTGCTCCCACTGTTCCCTGGGATGACTTTGAAGGAGGTTGTGGCTGCAGCTGGCTCTGGAGGCAGGATCCAGGAGGGAGGAGGTGAAGCAGGGAAGGAGCAGGAATGGCTTTGATTGCCCTCCCAAGGCTGGGCTCAGGGGAGCTCAGCAGGTTTCCTCTCAAGAGGACTTTGCTGGGAAAAAGCTCTGGAGAGGAGTTGAGAGAAAGGGAGATGATTTTCCTTGGATAAATCTGCAAAGCTGCCCCATTTGGATGTTCCCAGGTTGTTCTTAGCAGTGCTGTCATGGCCTCAACACATGAACCACATGGATATTTAACTTTTCTGCTTTCCTTGAACCTGTAAATGACTTTAAATTGCAAGGAAAAAAAACCTCTTTTGTTGTTGGTGTGCAGCAAAATGCCTGGAAGAAGCAGCTTCCCTTTTCCCTGGCTGTCAGGATTGCTGCTTTCTCCAAAGCACCTGTCTGAGTCAGCCTTTCTCCCTCCATGGAAAAGTCAGGATGAATGTTCTAATTCCCCCTGATTAGCTGAGTGTCAGGGGTTCTCGTGTGCAGCGGGCGAGTGGCGTTGGCAGAGGGAAGGAACTGGGGATTGAGTCTTCAAAACTGAGCAGAACTCCCCGTTCCTGAGCTGCAGTTGAGGCAGCACCTCAGCCCAGACGCCAGAGGGGACCTGCCCTCGTTTTTCCTGCTGGTTTTTGTGGAGTTTGGCAGTTTCTGCCTTTCAATGCTTAAAAAAAAAAAAAAAAAAAGCAAAACAAGCAGCCAAGCAGTGAAAATTCCCAGGGATGAAGGGAAGGTGTCTGCAGGCAGTGGGATCTGTAGGACAGGAGATGCTGATACTTTAAAAACCTCCCTGTAACCCTTTCCACAACCTGGCCTGGACATAAATATTTCACTGGAGATAAATCTCTACAAAACTGTCGGCTGTTTAATTCCACAGGAAGCACAGCAGCTGAAATGCATTTTTCATCAGGAGAGCTGAATCAGGATGGGCCAGGAGAAGGAAGGGAGGCTTTAGGGTGGCTCTAATTTGCTGTCTGTTTTCCAAAGACGTGTCTGTACATCATTTATGAAGCCCCCATGTCCTCTGGGGCGGGGTCTGGCTTTGCTGATAATCTATAAGAAAACAATTTCCCTTCCAGCTTGTTTAAATTGATCCCGAGTTTTGCAGAATACCTTCGCTGCCTGTTCCCTCTCCACTCTCCCTAATCCGTGCCCTCATTTGGAAATCACTTTAGGAATGTAAAAGCAAGGTTAGATGCAATCAGACTGCGGAGGGGGTTTTTTTTATTGTTGTTGAATACAGCAAATTCTTTTCATTCCCTTCCTGGGAAAGTTAAATATTTCCCCCTTCCCTTTTCCCTTTCATTAAAGTGAATCTTGATTTCTCAAATGCTTTCCCCCCATTCCCCATGTAAGGAAATCAAAGGGACTGGGAGAAATCTGTGCATAGGATTTTTTTATTTTTTTTTAAAAAAAATTCCTCCGCATCCTCCCCATCCCTCAGCCTCCTCAAAAAGATGGAAGAAAATAATATTAGAAGTGTTTTAATCAGGGGAGGTGGCAGCACCTCAGGTGTCCCCTGTCCCCCTGTCAGAGGGAATTGGAGGGATAGGAATGCTGCCCTGGCTGCTGCTGCCCCTCTCTGCACATATTTTATGGCAGAACTTGGCTCCCTAATTGCTCTGGAGCTGATTGTTACCAACACATAATTACAGCTTTTATCGATCTCCCCTCCCTGGTTGCTTCCCTTCCCTCCGGGAGGAAGATAAATAGGATGAGCTCCAGCCCCGGCACAGGATAGATCCCAGCAGAGCTGCCTCTGTCAGGGAAGGGCTGGAGAAGGCTCTGTTGCACATGAAACACACAAACGGCTTTGTGAGGGTGTCACAGGATCTTGGAATGGTTTGGGTTGGCAGGTTTTAAATCCCATCCAGTTCCATCCCTTCCATGGGCAGTGATCTCCCACTATCCCAGGGTGCTCCCAGCCCCATCCATGGCTTTGATCTACAGATCTACCCATGGGTAGGCTTCAGTTTGGACAGATTTTCCCCTCTTCATTACGGATCTCTCACTCCTCATCTTGGATCTATCATTTCTCATCCTGGATCTTCCACTCTTTATTGTGGATCCTCCACTCCTCATGCTGGATCTCTCACTCTTCATCTTGGATCTTCCCCTCCTCATTTTCAACCTTCCCTTTTTCATCTTGGATCTTCCCTTCCTTATCCTGGATCTTCCATTTCTCATCTTGGATCTTCTGTTCTCTATCATGGATCCTCCACTCTTCAGCCTGGACCTGGATCTCCCACTGCTCATCCTGGATCTCCCACTCCTCATCCTGAATCTTCCCCTCCTCATTTTTGATCTTCCCCTTTTCATCCTGGATCTTCCATTTCTCATCTTGGATCTTCCATTTCTCATCTTGGATCTCCCACTCCTCATCCTGGATCTTCTCCTCCTCATCCTGGATCTTCCTACTCCTCATCCTGGATCTTCCTCTCCTCATCCTGGATCTTCTCCTCCTCATCCTGGATCTCCCACTCCTCATCCTGGATCTTCCCTTCCTCATCCTGGATCTCCCACTCCTCATCCTGAATCTTCCCCTCCTCATCCTGGATCTTCCCTTCCTCATCCTGGATCAAGCCCTTGGGTTCCAAAGGGATTTTTTAGCTCCTGCCATTCTAAAAGATCTGTGGATTCTCCTGGGCAATTCTGGGAAACTCTGGTGCTTCTGAAAGCTCTGATTTGTGAAGATCCATTGCTCAGGCTGCCAAAAGAGGAATTTTCCCAAGAGTTGAGTTTGAGGGTGTTTCTCTTCACCTCCAATAACGAGAACCCCTGTGAGTATCCTGCTGTATCCCAGGTGCTGCTGAATCATCCCAGCAGGAGGGAGAGATCCAGGCAGGGTCTGGATTTAACAGCACTTCCCCCAACAAAGAGAACAGAGCTGCATGGAATAGATTTTGTTTTTGCAGTTGTTGTTGCTAAAATGCTGTTTTCCAAATTAAAAATAAATAAATGTCTGCTTAAATTCTCATTTAGAGCAACATGAAGTTGTTTAAAAGGAACAGCCCGGCCTGCCTGCCGTGCTGGCAGAGCTTTGTAATGTCATCTCTCAAATCTGACAGGATGCTGAGTATTCCATTAGATCTGTTGGATGTGTGTGTGCAGCAAAACCCTCCAGAAAACAGGAGTTTCTGTTCATCCAATTATCCTGACACAGTCCTTTGTAGTACTGCTCCACATTCCAATTTACAAACAAAGTAGATTTTCAAATACCAGATTTTGAGGGCAGGGAGTGGGAGAATTGTTCTTATTTCTTTAATTAAAAAAAAAGCACAAAACAAGTGGTGCTTTCCTGTGCCTGGTTCTGCTCTAAATGGAGTCATTTGTAAAGTCTGACTTCCATCATTAGGTCTCCAAAATGAAGGATGAGGAGGAGAGGATGCAGTGATCCCTCTTTATCAATTTCTCTTTACCAATTTATCAATTCTACTGGAAAGGGACACAATGCAATTAGGGGAGGAGATGTTTTCAGGGGATGCAGCTCTACCTCTGAATTTTGGGATGGGTGCTCGTTGATGAGTCTGGTGCTGGTTCCTGTTGCTGCAGGGTTTGGGAGCCAGGTTTTCCATCAGGAATGGAGTTGGAGGGAGATGTTTGTTTGATGGGTTCTGTGTCGCGCTGTTTTAGGAACGGCGAGAACCACGACGTGACTCTCTCAGTTGTCCCAGAGATCAAAGTTTATTATTGATCTTCTTTTATAGACAGGTTTGAGAAGGTGTGAGAGGTAAAACTGTCATTGCTCATTAAAGCACCACATCACCATCACTGGTTAATTGGAACACCACTCCTTGACCACCTGCTACAAACAAACAACACGGATCCTAAACAACACCTGCAAAGATTGTTGTCCTTTACCAAGGACTGTCTGAATTCCTTCTCATGCTTTCTCAGGCCAGAGTGAGACCCTTGTGTGACTCAGTTTCTCACAGGCTCCGTGCTCCCTGCCTGCTTTCAGCATCCACAGCTTCTGGCAGGGATGGCTCTGGGAGAACCTTGGTTGGAAATATGTCCCTGAAAACTTTCCAGGCCTGGGGGTATCCAAATTAGGAATTCCCTGTGCCAGAGAATCCTGAAATGGTTTGGGTTGGAAGAGACCTTAAAATTCCTCCTCATTCCACCCCCTGCCACCTTGCACTGCCTTCTCCTGGATTTGGGATGTTCAGCACTGGGGAAATCCCTGCAGGTTGCTGTGTCCTGGAGGAAAAGTTGACTTTTCCAAGGATGTCTCACCCTTCTATGGTGCCACCATCAGCTCTGGTGGGGTTCACCAATGCTTGGGAAGCTTTGCTTGGCTTTTAAATTCTCCTTATCCTGCACAAATCATCCAAGCTGAGCTTTTGTTTGCGTGGAGAAACATTCCTTGGGGGCTGGATAATGGGATGTGCAGTGGGAAGCTGTGGAGAATACAAAAATGGGGATTATTTTATGAAGCTGCTCCCTCACTGCTTGTGCCCCAAAACACAACCAGAGAGCAGTGACTCACAGACTGCAGAGTCCCAAGCCACAGCCTTGGAAAATCAAAATCCAAATTCAGCTTTGGAAACTTGGAAACGCCTGGGTTTTATTGCCTGGGAGGGAATGTTGGGCTGGGATTGGGGGGTTTTCCCTGTGTTTGCATGGAAAAAGCTGGAGAAGCACTGCAGAATGGTGTGTCACTATTTCATTTGAAGCAGAAATAGATTTTTACCCCCAAAAATGTGAGTTTTGGTAGTCCCAACTCCTTTTTTTGATCAATTGATAACACATTTATTAAAAACGTTGAGATCAAGCTGGAAATATCCCGTGATTCCCATCCACACGGACCTTTGGGGCATCCCAAAACCTGCTGCTTTTTTTCTCTGGTGCTGCACTTGCAGGTGGATTTGGAGTAAAAAGAAACAAAGAGTTTGATTTGCTTTGACAGCAGCCTGCTGTTAATTAGTTTTCCCTTCTTCAATTAATAAAAAAAGGCAGCTGCCCTGAACAGATTGAAGCTGGTGAGGAAGACAGGAGCAGCAGCAGCTTTTCCTCATGAATATTTTCCAGCTAATGCAGCCCTGAGTTTGAAGTTATTGCTGCTTTATTTAAAGAGAAATCCAAAAGCTGTGAGGAAATGATGAGTGAAAAGCTCCACCCAGCATCTCCCTCAAAGCAGCACCTCAGGTGAGCTCCAAGGAGCCTCTCCCTGTCTGAGCCTCCTGCAGCAGCTGTTCCTAACAGGTTCTTTTTAAGCCCAAAAAAACCCCCAGCACGATTCAAAACCCCCTCGTTAGTTACATGGGTAATTTTTCTTGACAGCTTTGTCTTAGGAATGTGCTAATTTAGGGATGAAAGCCTGACAAGATGAAGAACACAGGGAGAAGAGTTTGAAGTGGGTGATGGGCTGGGTTTCTCCCTGGGTAAGGGCTGGCTCGTCAGGAAAAGGCTCCCAGAAAGTGATTTGGATGCTGTGGTATCCCAATTCCTGCCAGTGGAGGCTGGGTTATCCCAGTTCCTGCCAGTGGAGGCTGGGTTATCCCAATTCCTGCCAGTGGAGGCTGGGTTATCCCAATTCCTGCCAGTGGAGGCTGGGTTATCCCAGTTCCTGTCAGTGGAGGCTGGGTTATCCCAGTTCCTGCCTCTGGAGGCTGGAATTATCCCAGGTCCAGGTGTTTGAGCTGCTCACAGATGGTTCTGCCAGGTGGGGTTTGTGTCAAACCCTCAGGGGTGGAGGGAGCCTCGGCAGCAGCAGCCAAGTCCAGGGCAGAGACAAATTGCTGCTCCCTGCTGTGGGGAGCTGCCTGTTGGGAAAGGATGGGGCTCTTGGAGATGGATGGAATCCTTGTTCCCTTTCCTGGTTTTTCTCCTCTTTCAGTGGAGTTTTGGAGCAGGGAGGGAATGGTCACGCTTTGGGAGGAGTCCCCCAAGCATGGGGCTCCAAGCTGATATTTCCCTTTGCCAATAATGGGGTTTAATTTTATTTCCCCTGCTGTTTCCCTGCTTTTTCCTGCTGTTTGTTCACACCAGCTCTGCAGTTTTTAGGTTATGAATGGAATGGCTCTGCTGTATAATGGATTCATGGGATAAATTTCTGTGCAGGGGAGAAACCAGCTCAGCATTTTCCTCTCAGCATCCCTGAAGTTCCTTAGAACTTCCCTTTTGCCTGTCTCCCATTTTTAGCGGGTTACAGAGGGATGGGGGGGGAGGGTTGGACCCCATTTTTATTTTGAAATTAAAGCTCTCCAAAGCCCTAACATGGAAAAGAAATCCCTGCTGGTTTGAGGGGTCAGGATAAGCTGGCTGATCCCAAAGGGAAGCGTGCAGGGTGTGGGTGATTCACATTTTTCTTCTTCTTCTAAACGAAAACTTTAAAAATCCCTGAAGCTCAGCTAAACCTTTTCCTCATCTTCCCTTTGTTTCCCATCCCTGCAGTCAAGAAGCAGATGGAGCTGAAGTCCAGAGGGGTGAAGCTCATGCCCAGCAAGGACAACAACCAGAAGACATCTGTGTGTAAGTTTTTTGGCTCTTCCTTCTCTGTCTTTGTGATAACAATCTCCTGGAACATTTCAGTGGATTTTACAGTAATCTCTAAAACTTCACCACTCTGAAAAGTTTGGGTGCTTTTCCCTCTCTTCCCTCTGCATTTCTGCATCACTCCCTCCTCCCAGTGCTCTGTTCACAAGCATTTACTAACTGCTGGAAGGGGCTGCAGGGGTGGGAGGCTGTGCATTTGGTTGATTCCGTGCTCCAGGGTCGTGGCTTTGGGCTCCTTTTAGTGGAGAAAGCAAATAATTTTGGGAATGGGATCGATGTTATCGCTGTAAATAAGAAGCAGGGATAAGGAACAACATTAAAAAAAATATCTTGGAAAATTTACAGAGGCAGTAGCAGCGTCTTCCTTTTTCTGTTTGAGTTTTATTTCATTTTCCCTGCAGGGAAAAAAAGAAAAAGATAATCCTGGGTTTGTAATGCTGATTTTTCAGGTTGTGTTTAGTGGTTGGTGTGTCAGGGGCAGAACATCTGGGGTCACTGCTGTGCCTTCCCCTGGCAGGTGAGAAATCTTGCACCTTTCCATCAGGTTCTTCCCAAATCAGGAGTAAAACCTGTGGTTTTTGTCCCTGAATCCTGGGCTCTTACGGTAACTCTGAGATGAAACAGGAGGGATCTGACTCAGAATTAATATTTTATATGGATTCAGACAGGAACAGGATGTTGCATTTTTCCAGATGGATTTTAGGGGAGAGGCTGGAATTGCTCATTTTGTTGCATAGCCCATTACCCCCATCAGAGAGGAGCAGTTTGGACATTTCAGTCGGGTGGATTTTGCAGACAAAATTCAGAACAATGGATGGATTGGATCTGAATTGTGGCTCAGTGTCTTTCTGGAAGGAGGGTCTCCCTCCCAGGTCCCAGGAGAATTTTTAGAGGCCCTGGTTTTTTGGGAGCAAGGCCCAACAAGGTAAAAAACCCAACCCAAAATCTGCGGAGCAGAAAACACTGGGGGCATGTCCAGGGGAAAATAATTCTGTTTTAAAGGAAAACTCCCAGTCCAAGCTGTTCCTGGCTGGCTGATACATTCCTTGCCAGGAAGAATTTAATTGGAATAAACATCCCAGTGCACTTAACTGAGTGGGAAATGCATTGGAAAACCCTCCTGGCTCGGTGTGGAGGCAGAGGGATGTGTTTGGAGTAGGGGGTGCGGTATCCTGGATTTTGGGGAATGTGGGGAAGGGAGTGATGAAATCATTGGTTTAATGAAATATTCTGGCATTAACAATATGAAGAATTCCCATTTCTCCTTCCTGGGAATGGCCTTTGGAGCAGTTTTACCTGTTATAAATGCCCTGGGCCTGAGGAGGACACAGCACCTGAGCTTTCCTTTCCAGCAGATCCTGTCCTGTCCCAGTCCTGCTGCACTTCTGAGATGGAAAACTAGGAATTCATTCCTTCTTCCTGGTTTATCCCATCCCAAGGGGCTCAGACCTGCCAGTTTAGCATCTGGGGAGCTCAGATCTTGTCCTGCTGATGGAGGACAGCTCAGGCTGGCAGTTGCTAAGCTGGAATAATGGGAATGGGGATGGTGGCCCCATTCCATGGTCCTTGTCACCCCCCCGAGGCTCCAGCTCCTTCCCCATGCCCTGCTCTCCCTCAGGTCTGGATTTTCAGCCCTGATCACCCCTATCTCACACAGCCTTCTGCTCCCACAGGGAATTTCCAGCTGCAGAAGTGCTGATTCCTGAGGAGATGGCACCAGGAAATTTGATTTATTTTATTTTTGCAAAGCCTTATCTGCTCTGTTCCCTGCTGGAGCTGCAGGGTCAGCCCTTGTGCTCCCAGTACACAGGTGGGACAGGCTGGGTAAAGAAATTTCCTATCCCAGAGCAATTTCACTTGCTTTGGCTCAAACACCAGAAATTCAGGAATTCTTGTGTCTCTTGGCCACACTTAAAGCTGTGCCACAGAACCCTAAAATCATTAAGGCTGGAAAAGATCAAGTCCAACCTTCAAGTCCTTGGCATTTTTCCCCCATTATTCCTACCAGCGATGTTTTCTTTGCTAAAAACTGACCTAAAATCCCCCCCTGGAAGAATCCACACTTAAATCCTGCAGGTCTTGCAGAGGTTTTGGATTTGGGATTGCTTGGCCAGATGAAAACCTGTGTGTTTCGTGGGGCTGAATGGAGGCAAAATGTAGTGATGTGACAGCTGCTTGTGTTATCACAGGGAAAAAAATCCATAAAAATAGGGAATTTTGGGGGGAGGTGCTGCTTGTGCTCAGTTGCAGTGGAATGTGTTTGAATTCATAATTAAGTGCCTTGTACTGCTCACCATCAGTAAAATTATTTGGAAATCTTGCTTTAATCACTTTTGGAGGGAAAAATAATACAGAGAGAAAAATAATGCAGTTACAAGAAATAGTTTTAAATTTTAGGTCACATTTTGGAGGCTGTTTCTGGCACTGAATGCAGAATGTAAATGTGAATATTCCAGTCCCACAGTGGGAAAATTGTGGTGTTTTGGGTTTTAAAAAGCATCATCAAATTGGCTTTTGTGGTGTTTGGGTGAGGCTGATCTGGAGGGGGTGTCTGGAAGGACTTGGATGAAGGAGTGAAAGTTCTGTGCATGTCCAGCTCGGTCAAAAAATGCTTTGAAAAGTCATTTTGGGGGTGTTGAGCAGTTTTTAGGTCTCAGTCAAGTGTGTGGGAGTTGCTGGATTTTGGGGAGGTGTGAGTGGTGCCCAGGGCTGAGGGACACAGGAGCCAGCTGGGGTTTGGGGACAAGCTTTGCTTGGGCTCCGTGGGACGCCCTGGAAGTGGTCTGGGAATTCTGGAATTCCGGGAATGCTTGTCAACCTGCATCTCCTGAACTGCTCTGGGATAGCACAAGATGGGAAATTTGGGTTTAGAATTGTCCAGGTGGAACGTTTCCAGCTGGAATTGGATTTTCCCAGTGTCAGCACCTCACTGTGCCCTTTTCACACGTGGTGTTGCTAAAATTGTGAGTGTTCAGTGTCTGGGTCAGTGTCACTGAGGTTCTGGAATCACTTAATCCTTGTTTTTTGGATCTTTGGGGGTTGGAAATGCAGCAGGACCTCGCTGGGGTGAGGCCTGCACCCATAAATCAGCTCCCTGCTCTCAGGCCTGATCTTTGTAATCTTTCCCAGAAGTTTGCATGGAATTCCTCAGAGCCCTGGTGTGTGCACACAGATTAACCCTTTAAACCATGTAATTCCTGCTGCAGTCCTTCCCACCCCTCCTGCCAGGAGTTTGTACATTTATAACCTGCTTTCACTGGATTCCTCATGCTGAGAAATGTTGGGGCTCTGTCTGAGGTTTTCTGAGGTGCTGCTTTATTTTGTAGTTCTGAAATTCAGTGAGAAATTGTCCCTTGGGAATCTGTCAGTGAACGTTTTAAATCAAGAGAGCTAGAACTAAATATTTTACCAGTGAATTCCAGTGGCAAACTGAACAATCAGAATTGACTGCCACTGAATTCATGAGGAGAAAGAAATTAAAAAAAAATAGTAGATTGAGGGGATGGAAAACCAATCCCATGGCTGGGTGAGAAAATTCCTGAGCTTCTAACACAGAAATTGAGCAGTACATCACGATTTTTACTTCTCCAGTAACCTTGAAGGGTTCATTTGGGAATGGCACAGCCCAGATGAAGCTTTGGGAAGGTGAACACAGCACTGACAGTGAATTCTCAGCACGACAAATCCAGTTTTAAACCTTTGGGCTATTCTATTTGTGTGTGTGTGTATGTTCAAAACAAAAGGTAGAGAACAAAAGTTTCTGTAAATGAGCATCTAATCCATCTCCTCCTTTTCTTTCACTCCCCTTAAAAGGGAAGTTCCCCAATTCCCAGGGTATGGAGATATCTTCCCTCTCCCCTTTGCTCAGCTTTATCTTCCCTGTTCCCTGCTTTATCTAAACGTGTTTTTAGGTGTTAATCCATCTCCAGCTAATGAGAGATGAACTGGGCTTGCACCTCAGCAGTGGGACTGACAAACTCTCCTCCAGGGCCTGTGTTTTCCTGAGATCTGGGGCCTCATTTCTTCCCAAAGTTTTGAATCCCAGGCTTTGTTTTTGTCTGATATGGGAAATAATCACCGGGTGTGACAGCAGTGACCCACTCTGGGGGGCACAAAATGGGTGTTCTGACCATGGCAGGGGGAATTTGCTGTGGGAATGTGATTTTTTTTCTCTGAGGAAGAGCTCCTAAGTGTTGGGATGCAGCCCTGGAAGCTGTGGTTGTTACAGGTGTGTCTGCTCAGGGGGACTTTTACAGGAGGAAAATCAGGAATCTGAGCACTTTCCTTCACTCCCACATGGCCTTGGGACATAAAACCCTGTTGGGTCCCTGATCCTGAGGTGAATTTCCTTTGTTTGGAGCTGCCTGTGCATAGGCATCACCTTTGTGTGTAGGGAAGGAACCCCAAGGAGGATGGTGGTGCTTGAGGACTTTGTTCAGTCACTTTTCCTGTCAGAAGCTGGGACCTGAATCCGTGGGCTCCCTTCCTTCACACCCTGGGGTGATTTGAAATTCTCTGGGCCTGTGAAAAGCGGCAAAGCAAAGTTTGGAGCTACAAAAAAATCAAGGGGTGCTGGATGCTGTCTTGGTGCTGCTGCCTCCTCACCTGACTGAGCTTAACCAGGGGGTATGGGCATGGAAAGGTGGAGAAGCAATCCCTCAGGAGGCTGTTCTCCATGAATCCATGTCTCTGTCACCTCTGTGCCCTCACACGCACACGGAGGAGAGCCCAGAGCACCAAAGCACCGTGTGGGAAAACAGAGCCACGTGTGCGGACAATCCCAGCCCCATCCCTGCTCCAGCACGGCAGGAAGGGAGGAAAAAAGGGGCCTTAAAAAGGAAATTCCTAAAAAGGACTTAAAGGGCATCAGGGGAGGTGTTAGTGATGAGGAGAAGCTGGAATATTTTTGGGATCAGCACAAGTTGGGAAGCATCGATCCTTCCCTCTCTGTAGGAGCAGTTGTAGCTGGGGATGCACCTGGGATTCCCCCGTGGTTAATTCCCAAATATGCAATGGTCCTGGCTTTGTGTGTGTCCAGTCTGGTGGATCCTCCCTGTGGCTGCCCTTCCCCTGCCCCTGCAGGGCTCCAGCTGCTGAGCCCTCGTGTCTGCCATGAGGAACAGGCTGGTGCCACCTCAGTGTCACCCTCCCCCTGGCAGTGGCCTTTGGGCCACCGTGTTTGGAATAAAATTGGGGTTTTCTTCCCTGTAATCCAGCTGTAGGCAGAGGTGGAATGGAAATGGGGTTGTTCCAGTGCTTCAGCATCATGGTTGAGAAATGTGGTGGTATTTTGGGTGCAAAGAAAACTAAGTCCCATCGAATTCCTGTGGCAAAAAATCACCCTTTTGTTCCGTATTACTGTGCTGGAATTCAGGCTGGAAATGAGGATTGTGCCAGGGGTGAGGAACCCCCAGGTTACCCCACCCTGAACCCTCCTTTGTGGCTTGGGCAGGTTGGAGAGGGCTGGAAATGGGAGGCAGAGGATGGAGCTGGGAGATTTCTTCAGTGCTGGTCACCACTCCATGGATTTCATGTTTGTTGGCATCGAGGTTGCTCCATGAAATTTTCCATCCTCCAACTAAATGGCTTGGCTTTAAAATCCTCGACTTGCATTCCCCTCTCCTTTCTCCCTCTCGTTCTGTGCTTGGGTTTTCCCCCTGGGATCACACACCTGCCTTTCCATGGAGCTGTTTTCTTTGCCTGGCACACTGGGCTGGGCTTGGAGGGCTACGAGGTCACCTCGGAGGGTTGCAGGTGGCATTTTAATCACAGGGCTCTGTAACTGGTGTCGTTGAGCAGAATGGAGAAATAAAGCAAGAAACCAGCTTCTTCCAGAGGTATTTCTTTAGTGGAATGGAGGGAAAATTGTGTCCCTGGCTGGCATTTCCTAGAAAACGCTCAGGTGTGTAAACTGAGCAGGATATTTGTTTCCAAAGCCGTTGTTTTCCTGGAATGAAACAGAACACATTGAGGTTTCTGAGCTCCCAGTTGCCATTTTTCTCGCCACATCCACCAAGACAGCTGCTGAAAGAATGTTCCTTTTGCTATTCTGTCTCTGTATGTGCTGTTTTTTGCTTTGTAGTAACTCAGGTTGGTGTGTCCCAGGGACATAATTTGTGTCCAGACCCTGGGATTCCTGAGAGAGGCAAAAGGATAGGCAACGATTTTAGGTAAGAACATTTCCTTTGTGTTCTGTGCATGCTGCAGAGCTGCTGTGTGTCCCTGGGTGTGCTCCTGGCCTGGGGGGTTCTGTTTGCTCTGTCCCCCTCCCAAAATCCTTACCAGTTTTGGGGAACATGTGTGTAAAACCTTGCCTGTGTGTGCTGTTCCATGTGAGGATCTCTAAAGATCTCTTGAAATATTTTTGTCCTTTCCCAATCCAAGTTGTAGAATCCCTTTATGCTGTCATCCCTCCCCTGGAAAACTGAAGCAGCCAAAAAAAAATCACTTTCTAAATTAGCTCAAGCCCCAGCATGGCCCTTCCCTTAGAGAACTTGAGGTGACTGAGGTTCCTTGTCACTGAGTCTGTGTGGTGCCAGCTAATTGGGAATTACAAAGTTTAAATCAGTGCTGTTGTTCCTTTCCAGTTCCCAGTTTTCCTTTGCAGGGATGACCCAGCTGCTGGTGGCTGTGGGGAATCAATATTTCATCTGATTCTGCTGGCCAGGGCTGTTTTGCTCATGGAAAGTGTCTCTCAATCGAATCCCACCCTGTCCAATTCTCCTCACATCCAGCAAAGGAGGGAGGGCAGAGGAAAGGGAATTCCCAATGGTCCCTAAATTCCACAGGATGAATTCCCAGCCACTGCAAACTGCATTGTGTTACCTCAGTGAACAAAGCAGCTGCAACAGCAAGGGCTCAGAATCCAAACCACAAATTAAAGAACAAAGCTCTGAGCAGTTGATAAAGATTTCTTCTTCTTCTACTTCCTAAGAACGCTGAGTGTGTCCCCTCCCGGGGCTGTGGGTGAAATTCCCACTGAAATGTCACTAAAGACTGGGATTTGGACATCAGCACCTGGCACAAGCACAGCAGAGGGGGAGGCAGAGCTCCTCCCTTCCTGCTGCTGCCTGCGGGGCCAGAGGACGGCTCTGACCCCAGATCCTGGGATGCACAAGGCAGGAGAAGGCTGATGGCCCCTCTGTCCCCTCTCCAGGCTGGGCTCCAGCATCCAGTTCTCCTGCAATGAGGGCTACGACCTGCAGGGCTCCAAGAGCATCACCTGCAAGAGAGTCAGCGACATCATCGTGGCCTGGAGCGACCACCGGCCCGTCTGCAGAGGTGAGGGGGCTCAGCCTGGCTGGATTTTGGGATCTGTGGGAATTCCCAGCTCCTTCATGTGCCTTTTCCATCACCCATCCTGCCCTCAGATCAAATAATCCCAGCGTGGTTTGGGTTGGGAGGATGTTGAGGACCATCCTGTTCCACTATCCCTCCAAGCTGGCCTTGGACACTCCCAGGGATCCAGGGGCAGCCAGAGGGGGCTCAGCTTGTCTGGATTATTCCGATAATAATTCCGTGGGAATTCCCAGCTCCTTCATGTCCCTTTTCGTAGCCATCCTGCCCTCAGGTCATCCCCTGGCCAGGTCAAACAGTCCCAGAGTGGTTTGAGTTGGGAAGTGTCTTAAGGGAAATCTTGTTCCATGGGCAGGGACAACTTCTACCACCCCAGACTGGCCTTGGACACTTCCAGGGATAGGGCATCCACAATTTCTCTGGAAAATCTTTTCCTGAGCTTCCCCACCCTCACATTAAAGCTTTTTCAGCCCCTCAGTCCCTGTTTCTGCACCCCCTTCTCCCCATACAGACTCTTCCATGAATTTCCTAGCTGTCCCTAAATCCCTTCCCTTCCCTCTCTCCTGAACATTCCTTTTGCTCAGGGATGTAAAACCTGAGCAAGACCATCCCTCTCCCTATTCCAGCTTTTTTCTTCCCTCTCCTCCTTATCCTGTAGGAGGAAAGACTGGAATAAAACCTGCAAAAGCAGAAATGGAGAGAGATTTTTAACTGGAAATGCAGCATTTTGGGGTTGTGCTTCCCCAGGAGCCTCATCCTGTGCCATGAGCCATCAGGGAACGGAGATTTTTTTTCATTTTTGCCCATGGCCATTTTGATTTCATTCCCTCTCTGAAATGTCACATTGTGATATTTGTAATGCTAATAAAGAACAACTTGTAATATTTTTAATTGAATCCCTTTAAAGCTCTTAAAATCATAAGTAGAGGGTGGTTTTTTTTCCCCCAGTTCTTTTTTTCTTTATTACATCTGCAGATTTTTTCAGGGCTTGGAATCCCATGTAATTCTTGAAACAAGCCTGGAATAAATTGAATCAGTGTAAGAGGATATTTGGCATAAATATGTGGCAGTATAAAGGAAATTTGTAGTGTGCTCCTGCAAGAGATAAGAAAGGATTTGTCTGTATTATTCTGTTTCCGTGAATCAACTTAATTTTTTTAGCTGCTGAATTTCATGTTTTGGGGTTGCTTTTTTTTCTTTTTTAAAAATTTGATTTTTATTTCAGCTTTCTGCCACTTTTTTATCACAGTTTGTTCCATTCTTTTTTTTATTTGGTTTCTCTCAAATTCCAGAGTCAGCTCCAGATTTTAACCCCTTTGGCTTCAATAATTTCTTAATTCCCACTGAGAAAATTTTGGGGGAAAGTTCTGCAGCTTCCCCATCTTCAGCAGATTCCATCTGCATCATGGGAAAGTCACTTAATCCCACCTGAAAAATGGGAATAATGGGATTTACCCTTTTTTTGCACTGTGGGAGCTGCACGATGAGGCAGGGGTGGTTCAGTGTCCTGGATAAGTGACCTCAGCTCCTTCCTAAGGTGCTTCCCAGCCATTCCCAATGTTCCCACAGCTTGGCCAGGAGATGATTTTTCCAGATTTTACAGAGGAAAAAAACCCTTGCAGACTCCTCATGTGCAAATACATCTCCTAATTTAAATTATAAGTTTAAGTAAATAAATAAACTTCAAAAATAAATAAATTTGGAGCACACATTGCAGCAGCAGAGAACACTTCCAGAACCAGGATGTTTTTCCCCACTTTTTTGGGTTTTTTTGTGGAATATTTCAGCTAAATATTACATCAAAGGCATTCCACAGGAAAAATTTTCCCTGCTTAAGCACTTTTCCCAGCTTTTCCTTCACCTGAGATGTTTTGAAGATGCAGAGCTGAGTTTCCACCTTAGTTCTGAGCCCACAGAAGGAAACCAGCTGATAAATACTTAATATTGACCTAATAAATCCTCGCTGTGCAGCATTTTGGGGGTTTGATCTGCAGGAAGAAAGGGAATGTGGCTTTTTGGGGACTTCAGGAAGGAGTTGTGTCATTGTGTCATTCCTGGCCCCTCTGGCCTGGATGGGGAAAGGTTTTTGTGAAGGAAAAAGGAGAAAGGAAAGGAAATAAATCAGTCTGAGGAGTAGAGCGTGGTTGGGTGTTGGTCTGAGGGGAGATGGGATCAGGGTTTGCTGGGATCAGGGTTTGATGGGATCAGGGTTTGATGGGATCAGGGTTTGATTGGGATCAGGGTGTGTTGGGATCAGGGTGTGTTGGGATCAGGCTTGGGTGGGATCAGGATTTGTTGGGATCAGGGTTTGGAGGGATCAGGGTTTGGAGGGATCAGGGTTTGTTTGGATCAGGGTTTGCAGGGATCAGGGTTTGCAGGGATCAGGGTTTGCAGGGATCAGGGTTTGTTTGGATCAGGGTTTGTTTGGATCGGGGTTTGTTTTGGATGAGGGTTTGCTGGGATCAGGGTGTGTTTGGATCAGGGTTTGCAGGGATCAGGCTTTGGTGGGATCAGGATTTGTTGGGATCAGGGTTTGATGGGATCAGGGTTTGCAGGGATCAGGATTTGTTGGGATCAGGGTTTGTTGGGATCAGGATTTGTTGGGATCAGGGTTTGTTTGGATCAGGGTTTGCTGGCCCCACTCCTCACAGAGAAATCTTTCATTTTCACGACATGGACAGAAAAAAGGAGCAGTTTAGGCTATGAAAACAACAATTACTAAATTTCTGCTTTCCCCCAGTTCCATACCAAGCTCCCCCCTCCTCCCGCGGCCGGCAGCGCTGACTATGCCCGTTTGTGTCCCCAGCCAGGATGTGTGACACGTACCTGCGTGGGCCCAGCGGGGTCATCACCTCCCCCAACTACCCCGTGCAGTACGACAACAACGCCTACTGCGTGTGGGTCATCACCGCCCTCAACCCGGCCAAGGTGGGTCCTCACAGCCCAGCCGCGCTGGGGAGCTCCGCAGCTCCAGGCAGGACGGGTTTCTGCTGTGCTGTGGAATTCCAGGCTTGTAGTTCATGGAATTCCAGGTGGCTTTGGGTTGGGAGGGTCATTGAAGCATTGAAGGGATGTTTTCCACTATCCTGGGTTTTCTCCAGCCTGGCATTGGACACTTCCAGGGATCCAGGGGCAGCCAGAGCTTCTCTGGGAATTCCATCCCAGCCCCTCCTCACCCTCACGGAGGAGGATTCAATCCCAATATCCCATCTAAACCTGCTCCTTTTCAGTTCAAAGCTGTTGTTGAGGAGAATTGTTGATTTACCAGAGCCATGAGAGGAGGAGATGAACAAAGGGGGTCCTTTGCCCTCATATTTTATGGAACAGAAGCTGGAAGGTGTTTGGATGCAGGGATGTGGTGATGGAGTGTGGACGTGCACAGCCAAACACTTCCAAACACTTCCAAACACTTCCAAACACTTCCAAACACTTCCAAACACTTCCAAACACTTCCAAACACTTCCAAACACTTCCAAACATTTCCAGACACATCTAAACACTTCCAAATGCATCCAGACAAATCCAGACACTTACAAATATGTCCAGACAAATCCAGACACTTTCAAACACTTCAAAACACTTCCAGAAACATCCAAGGACATCCAGGAACATCCAAACAAATGCAAACACTTCAGAAAGATCTAAACACCTCCAAAAATATCCATGCATGTCCAGAAACATCCAAGCACACCCAGAAACATCCAAGCACATCCAGAGACATCCAGACACTTCCAAACACATCCAGACACCTCCACTATCCCAGGCTGCTCCAAGCCCTGTCCAATTTAGACTCTTCCAGGGATCCAGAGCCAGCACCAGCTTCTCTGGGAAAACCTCTCCAGCCCCTCCTCACCCTCAAATTAAAGGTTTCCTCAGCCCCTCAGGCTCAGTTTCTGTCCCCACACAGACTCTTCCTTTTGTTTCCCAGCTGTCTTTAAAATCCCTGACCTTCCGTCCCTGCTGAGCACTCGTTTTGTTAAGGGTTGTAATTAAAAGTGAGTGTAATTATTTGTAATCGAAGCCCCTTTGATATCTCATGTGGAGGGCGGGGAGGTGCCCAAGCAGCTCATCAGGGCAGGGAGGCTGTGCCAGGAATGCTGATTTTTCCCGTGTTTTTTTGGGATCCAGCAGGATTTCAGCCCCCAGGGGCAGAGGAAGGAGGTTTGGGTGCTCGTGTTACTTATGCAGTATTGTAAATTTATTCACATTTTTGTGCTGTTGTGAATTTCAGTACAATCGCTTTCTGTACAGGTGTAACTGCCCTGGCCTGGAAAAGATCAATCCCTGTCCATTTTCCCCTGGCAATGGGAATTCAGTTGAGGACAGTGTTTGGTGCCCTCAGGTTTTCCAACCTCAGCCCTTGTCTCTCCTCCAAATCTGGAGCAGAAGAACAGGAATTCCTTTGCTGTGTAGCTCCAAAAACCCTTTCTGAGGTGTTATTTCTGCTCTCAGAAGGTGACAGGGCTTGTTGCTTGGAGTGTCTGGATTCCTGCAAACATCACTCCATTAGTTCTGGGTGAATCCTGAGCCTGCCAAGGCTTCAAGCTCCCATTTATTCTCCCTTGCCTCTGGACATTGTTGTGCATTGCCTGCCTTTTCCAGGGGGACTCTCACAGACTCACAGGATCTCATTTTGGTGGTTTTTTTTTTGGTTTTTGTCTTTGGTTTATTTTTATTTTTTTTTATTTTTTTGGTGTTTGGGGTTTTTTTTGTTTATTTGTTTGTTTTTTGGTTGGTTTTGTTCTTTGTGGTGGTTTTTTTTTTTTTTATTTATTATTTTTTGGTTGTTTTTTGTTTTTGTTTTGTTTTTTCCTGGGAATTGTTTGGAAGTGCTAGCAGCCCTGCTGGGATCATGCTTTCCCTCTCCTCTGGAGTGAGGCAGGGGCAGGATGGAGGAAGATCCAGTGGAGTTCTCTCTCCCTGCTGAGCTCATCCCAAGCCTTCAGCCAGCACAGATCTCTGGTGGACGAGGATTTTAATGAGGAATAGCCCTGAATTCCCATTCCCAGGCAGGTTGTGGCTCAGGGCTGTTGTTATCCATGGTGTGCCTGCACAAAACCTGGATTTTGGGAGACACAAGTGTGGGACCAGGAGATTTTTCTGTGCTGATCTGTTGGGAGGGAGCTAATGGTTGATCAGCTCCAGGGAGGTTCCCTTCATCAATGGGATGTGCAGGGGAGTGTTCATGCCCCTGATGGGGTATCCATGAGCATCCCTGGGCTGGAATTCAGCACAGCTCAGGCTGTGGAGGGTGTTTCATCCTTTTCCATTATTTTTGTACATTTTTGTCTCCAGAAATCACCAACCTCCAGGTTTTGTGTGGATAGAACAGCTGGTGGCAAGCTGGGTGCAGGCATTTCCTGGGTGTTTTGTAGGATATCACTTCCATTTGGGTTTCCTGCTCCAAATTCTGAAGGAGGAGATGAACATTGTGAGGAAAAGATGCTCCTGGACCGTGCCTAGTGTTTCACTGAGCCTTCTGTGGTGAATGTTCAGGCCTAACCTTCAGCTCTGTTCCTTTGCTTTAGTGCCAGTGTTGTGCCCAAAGTTTTCCTGCTTTTCCATCAGCAGTGTGACAGGAAAAGCTTCTCCTCTGGCCTTCCTGCACACAACTGTCTTATTTTCCCTTGGGAATTTCCGCTTAAAGGAAGTTTCTCCTCTTCCCCATGTCGATTTCTTCCTCAGCTTTGAAACCTGAGTCATAACAAACGCAGAATCTGCAAGTCCTGGTTCTTTCCTAAATCATAAATTGCTCAAATCCATTCATTTCAAGACTTCCCAGCTCAGGTCAGAGATTCCACAGCACAAGGTTCTGCTCCATGGGCTGCTTGTCCTGCACAGAAATACGGATTGGTGAAATCAGCAGCGTTTGTGCGCTGTGTGAGGAGATCCCATTGCCTTTTCCTTGGACATTATAAATAGTGTTAATTAATTCCAGTAGTGTCAGTTTTGGAAGGGATTTTTGGGTTTAGGTGTTCCAGTGTCATTTACAGGGAGGGAAAACCACTCCTGAGGCAGGGAAGAAGAGCACCAACACCTGTGGGAAGGCCACAACTCTCCCTGCTTGTCCTGATCTTTTCCTAAATCATAAAGGGGATTGGAATTGCTCAAATCCATTCATTTCAAGACTTCTCAGCTCGGATCAGAGATTCCACAGCACAAGGACCTGCAGGTGTTGCTCTGTGGGCTGCCCATCCTACACAGAAATATGGATTTCTGTGAAAAAAATCAGCAGCTTTTGTGACCTGTGTGAGGAGATCCCATTGCCTTTTCTTTGGAAATAGTTTTAATTAATTCAGTTAATAATGCCAGTTTTTGAAGGGATTTTTTGGGGTTTAGGTGTTCCATGCTGGAAGTTTTAATTTACAGGCTGGGAAAAGCTCTCCTGGAGCAGGGAGGGTTGGGAGAAAAGCACCAGCTCCTTTGGGAAGGCCACAGCTCTCCCTGCTTATCCCTCAGGGATGATCCCAGCATTTCCCATTCCCCAACCTGGCTGAGGAAGGATTGGGGATGAATTATTTCCAATGCCCTGGGAATAAGGAGCATTATGTGCCTGTGCTGGAGCTGCTGGAGTCGCTGTAATCTTTTTATTGACTCCAGTGGTCTTTGGATCAGGTCCTGTTCCGTGGAGCTTTGGGAAAAGCAGGGAGCTGAATTCAGGACTCATTTACAAGTCCTCTGCTCTATCTTTAGCAAAGAACCTCGAGCCAGAGATCCACTGAGCCCCAAAATCCCCTCCAAATTCACTGGGAATTCTGTGTCCGTAGGGCTGAGGCCTCCTCACTGGCAAACTGGGATTATTTCCTGTGCAGAGGGGGGACATCAAACCTATCTGGGGGATATTCACATGTTTTTTAGCTGGTCCCTGGTGCCCTGGGAATTAATTCCGACCACAGTGGGAAAATAAATCACTGGGGAGCTGAGAAATGCATATGATAATTGGGGAATTTGCATAAAAGCTATTTCTGGCCTTTCTTGACATAATGGATGTTGCTGGTTGAGGTTTCTCCTGGGGTTATTCCCACCAAATAAAAAAAAAAGCCAAAGAAAAAGCCATGTCTAAGCGGATGGAGGGAGAAGGGCCCCTCCAGGGGATGATTTATCCCAAATGGAGGCAGAAATTCTGGAGCCTGGGAGTCAGGGAAATGAGGAATGTGCTTGTAGAGCTTCAGGTTAGAACTGCACGAGCTGCTGTTCTCCTGGAGAGAATTATTGTGGATTTTTCTCCTCGGAATGTGACCAAACTTCCAATCACTTTGGAATCAGGAGTCCCATCCCATTTTCCTGGCTTTGCTGATTGCTCCCTGACGCTTCAGCAGCTCCAAGTTTGGGGGTGCTGGTGGCTCTCTGGCTGTTTAGTGAATCATTAAATAATTAAATGAATTAAATTTCTAGGTTTCACAGAAAAAAAAAAAAAAGAACAGGAAAATGGGTAAATAAATACAATATTCAGCATCCAAATCTTGTGCCAACCTCTTGAGTGTGCTAGGATGTAATTAGTTGTTTAATTAGGGTCAGGCTGCTCAGGATGCAGCTCCTTGAGTGGCTGGTTGAAGTAATGGTGTGTGCAGATCAGTGTTCTCTGGATTAATTACATTATTCCAGCATTTCATGCTTTTGTAGCCTGCACAGGTTAATATTTGGGTACTAGACAGAAATTAAAAGTTGTCTGAAGCATTACCCAGGCTCCTGGTTCAGCATCTTGGGGCTTTGGAGGAAAACCTCTCTTTTCACAATGCCTAAAATCTCTAAATTTAATTTTCTGTGCATTGAAAAATGCTGTGTTCATGTAGGAAAGAAAACACAGGACAGCTCAGCCTGAACTGTATAAACACCTTTTTTTTTTACTTTTGGTTTGAAATTTGGGGTGTTTATCCCCCTGGGAATCCACACCTGCTCAAGTTTTGCAGGAGGTGCTGCTTATAAAAGCAAGAAAGGACAAGAGCAAAATTTTGGGTTTCTTGGGCTCCGGTTCTGTGCCCCAAACTGAGGTGGAAAGTGTCCCCAGAGCTCTGAGGTCCTTGGCACTCACCTGGCTCCTTCTCCTTTCCTTCTGATTTTTGTGTTGTCTGAAGCAGCTGAAAGAAGCATCAACCCACATTTGGTGATTTAATCTGTTAAAAGTCAGGAAATTGAATGTATCTACAAAGGTCTCATGCATTTGAGATGTTTTTGTGCTTTTTATTTTGGCTGGTCAGGTAAAGAGTCCAAGAAACAAAACTCCATTGATTTCTGCTGATGGGGGATGTGAAACTCTTCTTTAATTTAATTAATCTCTTCTTTTTCTGTTTGTTCAGCCTTTTTCAGGCTGGCTTAAAAACTCTACCCCCTAAATCGGATTTGAAAAGCAGAGATTCCCAAAGCAGCTGAGAGCCTTGGGGCACAAACTTCTGTGGGAGTTCTGCTCCTAAATGATGCAGAGAGGCTGCAAAAAATCCAAAGTCTGGGTGGAGCAGGAGACTAAAAACAGGGAATAGGGATGTGGTGATGCTGAGGATTGTGACAGCTGGAGATAATTCCCTGACCATTCACATAAATCCATAAATTCTCTCCTGCTCTGAGCACAAACCAGGAGAATTTCCTGAGCCACAAAGTAAAAGACTCTGTGCCAAATCTACCTCCAGAATTCCGGCTTTGGGGAGGGAGAAGGTGGGAAAAGGCACCTTGAGGTCCCAGCACACAAATATTGGTATCAGTGAAGTCATCTGGACAAGCAGAGATAAAGCAGAGGTGACACAAATCACCTGTAAAAATCCCGGGGAAAACAAAACCAAAACCAAACTTTTGGGGATGTCCAGGAGATTTTGATGCTCTTGGAAGCTGCTCCAGGATCCATGAGCAGGGCAAGGCTTGGTGTTAATTGATTGTGTTAATTGTGCCGTGTCTTTGGCAGGTGATCAAACTCACCTTCGAGGAATTCGAGCTGGAGAGAGGCTACGACACGCTGACAGTGGGGGATGGAGGCCAGGTCGGAGACCAGAAATCTGTGCTTTATGTGTGAGTAACAATTCCCAGGAGATGCTCCTGCCGGAATCCGCCCGGCCAGGTGGGGCTGCGGGGTTGGGATGCAGGAGCTGGCCCTGCTTCCACTGGGTGTTGGGCTGGTTGTCACTTCTGGAATCAGAAAATTCTCCCCTCTGTGCTTCCCTCGCTCTCAGGGAGAGGCTGAGTCTGCAGGGAGTGGGAAAAGCTGGGATGCAAAAGGAAGAGCACCCCAGGCACAGCCCAGGAGCTGTTTGGATCTCTGTCCCCTGCTGCCATCATTCTGAGCAGTGCAACGGGGCTGTAAATGCAAGATCTTGGAGTGGCATCCCCAGCATTTCACAGCCAGGGTGCATTTGGGGAAACAAGGCTTCTTCCAGGCTGGGATTTGGGATTTTTTGCATCCTTTACTTGCAAATTTGATGTTCTGTGGAGGTTTCTTCAGCACAGGGAATGTGCAGATGGTCCTGCTTTCCCTCCAGGCCTCTCCAAAACCACTCCAGCAAAGCTGTTGTGCTCTGGCAACTGATGGAGAAGTTCATTGCATTTTTTCCTTCTTCCTCTTGTTTTTCCACATGGAACAGCCTCCCAGTCCGTTTTCACATATCAACATTTCCTTGTCTTTCCCAAAGATCTTTTTCCCTGAGGTTTTGTTTCAGGGGTGATCCTTGGTCAGGAGTCCCAGCCTGGCATGTGAAGGTTGATTAATGCACAGGTGTAATTCAAGTGTCCCAGAACATTTCACAGCTGCTTGGTCCAAACCTGCAAATCCCTGCCGTGGGAAAAATTCCTGACATGATCTTCCATTCCATCCCTTTTGGTTTGCCTAAAACCCACAAAATTTTTCCTTAGATTGGATTTTAATCTTTCCATGTTTTTTTCCCCACTCTCTGTTACCTCCTCAGCACTTTGCTGATGCAAATTTGGAATATCTGTGACTGAGCAAGGTGCAGTGCCTGGAATCTGTTCCAGGAAGTTTCCAGTAAATTCCTGGTGCTAATCCTTCCAGCTCTTCTTTTTTATTTTATTTTTTTGTTAATAATCTGTGAGGATTAATTGAAAGGTAATGAAATGGGAGAGAGGTGTGAAGACCACGGTGCTAATTAATGTGCTTGAAAGTCCATGAATCACTTTTTCCAGAGTTTCTGCCCACTCTCAGCTGGATCCACAGATCAGGGATAATATCTGGATACAAAGTGAGGTTTCTTTGGAAGAATCAAAATGCAGACACTCCTGTCAAAGGCAGTAATTCCAATTTTCTTCCTGCTCTTCACTTCCCCTTGGCTGTTGAGGAGCTCAGCCCTGCTGCCTTTCCAATCAAGGAATGCACTTGAGTGCGGTTGCACAGCAGCAAACTCCATCCCAAACGGAGCTGGGAAGGACCATTTGTTTCCAGGCTCATTCCCAGCCCTGGAAAATGGGAACAGAGAAGATTGTTAGGCTGAGCTTCCTGACTTGCAGAAGGAATTTGATTTCTTGAAGTAACAAGCACCCAAATCAATCATCCAGCTTTTTAAAAGTGGGGTGGCAAAGGATGCAGAAAGCTTTGAAGCACCTTTTCCTGGAGGTTTTTCCTCTTGGAGTGTTCCTCATTCCTGCCTGGCTGCTGCTTCAATAAATAAACTGAGTATCAACAATAACACTCCTGAACATCTCTGGGATGCAAAACAGGCACTAAAACAAGATCACTTCTTCATTTAGCAGCACCCTGAGATCAATAAAATCCCTGCTGCAGGTCAGAGCAATCACGGAGCAAAGGCAGGGGCAGAGCTGGGAGAGTTTTGCTGGGATTGTGATTGCAGGGAAAAACCCACTCCAGGTTGCAGGGAGAGCCTGGGCAGTGGCTGCTGCAGGTGTCCCTGTCCCTGCAGCCTGTGAGATCTCTGCTGTGGGGAGGAGAGGTCTGTGATGTCCAGGGTGGTCCCATTCCCATGAGATCCCTACTCCTGAAAGGAGCTGGCACTCAGCAGGGAGCTGAGTTGATGTCACTGCGTTGGATGAGTGACACAGCTCTTGGAGCTGTCACAGAATCCTGGAATGGTTTGGGGTAGAAGGACCTTAAAGCCCATCCAGTCCCACCCCTGCCATGACAGGGACACCTTCCACTGTCCCAGCTGCTCCAGCCCCAGTGTCCAGCCCAGCCTTGGGCACTGCCAGGGATCCAGGGACAGCCACAGCTGCTCTGTGCCAGGGCCTCCCCACCCTCCCAACTAGGAATTTCTTCCTAATATCCCACCCTGTTCTCCCCTTTGCCCGTTTGAAGCCATTCCCTGTGTCCTGGCACTCCAGTTCCTGCTGCAGGATCCCTCTCCAGCTCTCCTGCAGCTCCTGGCAGGTGCTGTGAGGTCTCCACTCAGCCTTCTCTTCTCCTGAACATTTCCACCTCTCCCAGCCTGGAACCTGTCCCTTTACCAACTTCACATCCCTCTTCTGGCCTTGCTCCAGCAATTCCACGTCTTCCTTCCGTTGAGTTTAGTTTTATCCAGGAGCCTTTCAAGTGCTGCTGTTGTACCTGGGGCCAGGCCCAACCCAGAGCTGAACACGGGGATGAATTTGGATTTATTTAAACACCGCAGAAAAGACAAAAAACCCTCTCACCCCTCTTAATTTCTGTCTTTCTCACAGATAGTAGCTCAGCAGAAACAGGATAATCACAACATTAAACCCAGGCAGCACAACAGCCCTGGAATAACCTGGAATAAGCGTGCTGCCCACACAAACGCTGCTCCTGTTTCCAGGAGCACAGGGAAGGGAGGGAGCTGAGCTCCTCCTGGGGAAGATGCTTGTGTGGGTGAGGCATAAAGCTCTGAAGCTGTTTTGAACCACAACGAGGTGATTAATCCCAGAGGCTGAATGAGCCTCATTAATAGGGAGAGATCAGTGACATTTCCCTAAATCTCCTCATCCCTCCTGGGAGGATCCTGAGGGGAAGGCAGAGCCCTGATCCTGCCAGGATTAGTGGCGCTTCTCAAGGGCTCACGGGGTGTTCAGCAAATCTGGGGCTCATGCTTTGTCTGCCAGATGCTTTTTTTTCTTTTTTAGATCCTTCTCTCAGGGCAGAAATGTAGCAGGGAATGGGTGGAAAGTCATTTTTTGTGCTACTGGAAACCACTGTGAGGGCAGTTCAGAGGGTTCAGTCAGTCAGGGCACAGTTTGGCTTCCGGGAATTTCATTTGTTTGCTGATGTTTTGCCTCAGCGAGCAGGGAAATGATTCCTTTTGCTGCTGGGTGATCCGTTACAATAATGGCAGTGAATTGTAATTATTGCAGTGAGGGTGCAGAGAAGAAGAAGGGAAAAGATTCTTCTTCAGGGAGAAGATTCAGTGTTGGGGTAGAACGGAGAACACAAGAAGATTTTCATCAGGCTTGAAAATCTCCCAGTTTTTTTGGGATGATTCTTAAATTTGGCATTTTCCTGCTTCTGCAGGGATCTTTATTTGAGGGTGGGTGAACCTGAGGCCATTTTGAGGCTGGTGATTTGTTGTTGTTATTTTCTTTTTGCAGCCTGACGGGCACCACTGTCCCCGACCTCATAGTCAGCACCCAGCACCAGATGTGGCTCCTGTTCCAGACAGACAGTGTCAGCAACCTGCTGGGCTTCAAAGCCACCTACGAGGGTAATCCAGGCTCCTTCCTCCCAATTCCCCTTCTTCCACAGCATCAGGGACCACTGAGTGCAGGGATCTGGGAGAAAAGGGAGCTTCTCTAAACAAATCAAGGCTCTGCAGGGTTGTTTTGTTGGTTTTTTTCCCTTAAGAGCAGCTTTGCTGCTTCCTTTCCCATCCAGGCTGGGGCAGGGCTGTCCCGTTGCCATTTCAGCTGTTTTATTGGAAAAAAGGTTGGGAATGTCAGCTGACAGCAACAGACTGTGCCTGTGGGAGGGGATGGGGGAATCCATGGTTCCAGCACATCACTGCTGCCAGCTGCTTTAAACTGGGCTGGGCTTTCAAGTGAAATAAAATTTAATATTGGGGTTTTTTTTCAAAGAAACTCATGGAATGTAGCAAAATGTGAGTGCTTAAGTCTGGCTTAAGTTGGTGTGTTTGCTGCTGTCACAGGTGTTGGCAAAAATAGGGAAATTGTGGGGGAAAATCCTCCCTGAGAGCTGCTGGAAGTGTCCAGCAGGAACATTCAGCTCTGGATTTTCCAGGCCCCAAATGCACATTATTCCTTTTAAAGGTGTTTCCTTGGCTGTCCCTGCTTGCAGCCCGTGTAATTCTGATTCTCAGTTCAGCTCTGGCTCGTTGGTGTTCACCAAGATCACTCCCAAATTTCCAGTCCCAGCTTCTATCCTCATGAACAGATGTTTTTCATCATAATAAACAATGTTTTTGGATTTCCAGTGCTTGGCAGAAGGAAGTGGGATTAAGCTCTCCTTTCCTGGTGAATCCTTTCCTTCCTCCCCACTGCACAGAGCTGAGGAAGGCTGGAATTTTTGGGAGAGGGCTCCAAGCCTTCCAGAATCCTGGGGCTTCTCTTCTCCCTCTTTTCCTTTAATCCTGGGTGATTTGTTGGGAAAACACCTTCCCCTGGAGCTGGTGCCTTCCACATCTGTCAGGATATTCTTGTAGAATTCCCAGCCCATTGTAACAGCTGGAATAAAGTATTCCTTCAGGCCACACTTTTCAGACATTGCTGAGAAATTTAGGATTGATTAGGTAAGAACCAGACTCCCATAATCTCCTCCTTCTGAGGGATATTCCCCATCAGTGGACTGAAGTCTCCCAAAAAAAACCCAACCTATTATTTATTCTACAGATATTAGAGTTTATTCCATGCAATAGCACAGAAATAAATTAATTTTATAAATTCCTGTGATAAGAACAGAAACATTAAAACATGTAAAAACCCCACCAAAAACCAGAACAAAGCTAAATTTTAATTCAGTCTCGTCTTGTTCTAACAGAAAGTGAGAATTTCAAATTAAAACCAGATTAATGGACACTCCCACACTAATTTAATTTGGATTTCTGCTGGAGTTGGGTAGGAGCTGGCTCAGGTCTGTGCCCTGAGCCCCCTGCTGCAGGCAGGGGATGATTAAAGGCTGTTCATTGTTGGGGCAGTGCTGAGCAAGGCTTTGGCTGTCAGAGCTGTGGGATTCAGCCCCACGGTGCTGAAGAGGCTGAGGAGCTCTGCAGGGGTGGAGCTGGAGATTTCCTCCCCTGCCCTCTGTGCTTTTAATCCAACTTTTTCATCTTAGCACAGGAATTGATACAATTGATTTCCTTTTATTTCTTGGAATAAACTCCTGCTCATCAGCTGAAGAAATAAGTGCTGGGGTTTTATTTTATTTTTGAACTTTGCTGGGATGGGCTGCTGCTTCCTGCAGCTCTTCTGCCAATTATCAAGGTGGAAATCCAGCCCTGAGTTTATTTTTTTAGGTTCTGCATCTGCTGTATCACTGGTGGTGGGGTCTGTCAGGAGGCCAAGGGGTTTCCATTTCCCATTAAATGAAATGTGAACTTTGCATGGCTGGAGTTTGTCACAGGAACTCTGAACCTGAGCCACAGAAGGGCTTTGAGCTCACTCTTGCTGGGCTGAGCTCTGCCAGGGTCCTGTTCTGGTGCTAAGCCTGGCCCAAAGCTCAGGACAAGGCTGATGTGATGCTGATCCTACCACAGCCCACCCCGTGCTGCTCTGCTCTGGTGCTTCCAGGTGGGAGGGAGAGGCAGGAAGGGCTTTTTCCTTTCAGTTCATCCCCTCCTTGTTGTGTTTCATCTTCAGATCCCTTTTATTTCCTCGTCCAGGGAATCCCAGACTGGTTTGGGTTGGAAGGGGCCTTAAAACCTATCCACCCTTTCCATGGGGTCAGGGAAACCTTTGGGGTGGAATGAGATGATCTAATTTTTATTCATTCTTGGAGGAAAAAATTAAAAGGCAACAGAAACACCCTGGTCTTGATTCCTCCAAATTCCTACCTGACACCATTAGTTTTAATTTTTTAAAAAGTTCATTTAAGTACAAAATCCTGTGCATGATTTTTCCGGAGTCTTTCCTGAACAGCGGCGACATTTGTGGGGTTTCCTCAGTCTCACAAATCCTTCAGCCTGTGGCTATCCCTTACAGAAACTGGAGTTTGACTTTCTGGCAGCTCCAAAAATCCTCATTTTCCCTCAGAAGTGAGGCAGGCAAGAGCAGGAATTCCCATGGAGAAGCGGCCTGGATTTGGGGAGCCTGCAGGATGTGTGAGGGAGGCTTTGCTCTCATTCCTCACCCAATTTCCCACCCACCACCTGCAGCCAAACAGCACAAAGAGCTCTGCAGAATTCCTGCTGCCACATTTTTCCCTCAGAAAACACTGTTTTGTCAAAATTTCCCCCCTGTATGAATAATATTTGATGGAGAAGCTGTGAAAGATTCATGTCAACTTGTTTCCTTTCAATAATGTCAAAACACTTGGTTTGGATGTTCTTGTTTAGTTTTGACTTTTATTATTCTAATGTGGAAGTGATTTTTTACTTTAAACATTCATCAGGAGGAATGTTCCAATCTTATTGAAGTAACGTGTTTTGATATTTTTGAATCACTCTTTTTTTTTTATGGAACGTTTGCCCTGCTAAATATTTCATGGATTTTACTCCCTATGCAAAGAAATGCAGGAACCAGGGGATTTTTCTCAGGTCAGAAAATGGAATTTCCTAATAAATTCCATTTCCTGGCCTCTGTAAGGTGATGAAACCTGTGAGCTGTGCCTGCTGCTAACAAGGAGACAGTGGGAATTGGGAGCTCTAATCCCTCATTTTTCTCCCATTTTTAACCCCCTGATTTGAGCTGGGATCGTGCAGAGCGACAGGAAAGGATGAGGAGGGAGGAGACCCTTCAGTGTTGTTATTCTCCTTCAGCCAAGGGTCAAAATGCTCTGATTTTACCTCACTTGGCTGCATTTTTTCTGAGCTCCTGATGCCCTCAGCACATCCTGCTTTCACTGATGCTGCACATTCCCCATTCCCTTTGGAATTACAGCTCTGGAACTTTGGCTTCTGCCACAGCTGGAGCTGCTCGGTGCAGAATTCCAGTGATGGACCCAAGCTCAGGGAAACATTTGGGGCTGGCTCTGGGGTTTTGGCATCTCTGACCTTGTGGGGAAGCTCCCATGGGCTGCCATGGGTCAGGCTGTGACCGTGTGTGGAGGAGTTTTGGGGCTGCCACAATGGGAATTCTTTGTGTTTGTAGGAGTTTTGGGGCTGCCACAATGGGAATTTTTTGTGTTGGGAGGAATTCCAGGGCTGCCACAATGGGAATTTTTTATGTCCATTTCTGGAGGAGTTTTGGGGCTGTGAAAACGGGAATTTTTTGAGAGTTTCAGGGCTGCTGCAATGGGAATTTTCTTGTGTCCATTTCTGGACTGCCACGTTTCTGGGGCTGCCACAACTGGAATATTTGTGTCTGTGTGTGGAGTTTTGGGGCTGCCACAATGGGAATGTTTTGGTACAGGATGGGCTGGGCGGTGAATCCACACTCGCTCCATGTTGTGAGGGATGGCTGGAGCGAGGTGCATTGGTGTTCCAGAATCATGGAATGGTTTGATCAGACCTCAAAGCCCATCCCAATCCATGGGCAGGGACACCTCCCACTATCCCAGGGTGGCCTGGGACACTCCCAGGGATGGGGAATCCTCACCAAATACCAGCAACCGGAGGGATCCCAGGATATCCAGCAGCTCCCTCCCCAGGCACTCAGTGCTGCTGCCCCAGTGACAGCAGGGCTGGGGACACTGGGGACACTGGGGACACTGGGGACAGGCCCCTGCAGCTCCCAGGGCCATCACTGGCACTTGCTAACTGCATTCCAGGGTGTGGGAAGGGAAGGGGTAACAGCCATGGATGTTTTGAGTGGCAGCAGGGAGCGTCCCTGGCCCCCCAGGCCCTGTCAGACACGCTGATAAATGTTCCAAATCTGCTCCCTCCCATCCCAGCTCGTTGCTATTCCTCGAGTTTCAAGCTGAATTTTCATTTCATGCTAGGCACTGTTGGCCTTGTGCATTTTTTGGGGGGGAGAAATGAACAGTTCAGTGCAGCTTTAACGCCCAAAATTTTCATTTTCCAGCCCTAATATGCCAGTGCAACTTCTAAACAGTTGGATTTAGAAACTGTGCAGGAAGATCCGTAAATCCTGGCAAAGTGCTTTCACTCAGAGGCAAAAAAATGCAGCTTTTTTCATGAAAACTTTTAATATTAATTTATGTTAAGTTATTTTGGGGATGCTTCATTAGCTAGCAGTGAGTTTTCAGCTCAAGATGCAGCAGAAGCTCTGTGCCGTGTAACTTCTGCTCAAAATACACCTGGATCTGGAGTTGCCTGGAGCCAGAATAATAATGAGGGTGCCTTGTTGTTATTCCAGCCAAATTGGGATATTAAAGGGAGTCGTGCAAATCTCAGCTTCCATGATTTGCCTCTGTAAAGGAAGTGTCATAAATGAGATTTCCAATTTGGTGCAAGAAATTGGAAGCGGGGAGGAAAAGACAGCGAGACTGATCAGAGATGATAGGGATAAAAACAAGAGGATTGGGAGAGGAGTGTGGAGCAGATAAAAAATGTGGGAACACAAAGGGGGAATGAAGGAATGAAGTTTTTGGAGCAGGGAGCCCTTTGGAAATGGGATTGGAGGGAGCAGGAGATAACAGGAAATTGTGTCTAGGGTTTATTTGGAGTCAAAATTCCCATGTGGAGAGGGATTAAATGAGTATATGTGTGGGGACAAGGCAGGAATGGGGATGGAATTGGGGTAGGGAGGGAAGGAGAGGGGACAATCCAGCAAATTCCCTCTGTGTCCCTGTGCCAGGGAGCTGATCGTTGGTCCTGCCTGGCGAGATGTGGGCCCCTGAATTCAGAAATTCCTGGAGCAGATGCAGAGCAGGAGCTGCTTTGGATACCTGTTTTTCATTTATTCCCTGTATTTTATTTTTGTTTTCATTTCAGCTGGGATTGTCACAGAATCTTGGAATGGTTTGGGTTGGGAGGAACATTAAAGCATGAGCAGGGACACCTTCCACTATCCCAGGTTGTTCTTGTCCAGTCTGGCCTTGGACACTTCCAGGGATCCAGGGGCAGCCACAGCTTCTCTGGGAATTCTATTCCAGCCTCTCCTAACCCTCACAGGGAACAATTCCTTCCTGATATTTAACCCAAATCCCCCTTCCCTCTCCTAAAGCCCTGGATTGAAGACTGGGAAGCTGTCAGGAGAGATTTTTAGGAGAAAATTGGGGTTGGGACGCCACAACCTGGTGTGGGCTGCACCAGCTGGGCCTCAGCCCCTTCCCCACACCCAAGTTCTGTGTTCTTTCTTCCAGCCCCTTCCCCACACCAAAATGCTGTGTTCTTTCTTCCAGCCCCTTCCCCACACCGAAATGCTGTGTTCTTTTTTCCAGAGATCGACCAGGGCAGCTGTGGCGATCCCGGGATCCCCGCCTTCGGCCGCAGAGAAGGCTCCACCTTCCGCCACGGGGACACTCTGCACTTCGAGTGCCAGCCCGCCTTCGAGCTGAAGGGCCACAAAAGCATAACCTGCCAAAAGAGCAGCCAGTGGTCTGCTCAGAAACCTGTGTGTGTTTGTAAGTGGGTCAGGAGCTCCCGAGCAGCAGCCTGTGTCCTTGGAGGGGACCCCGCGGTGGTGGCAGAGGTGGCTCCTGCCCAGGGATGCCTTCACCCAGCTTGAGGAGAGCTTTGGGCTCTTCCCTGGGCAGAGCAGGGGGAGATTTGGGCTGTGCTGGGCTCTCCCTGCTCTGCCCCCAGGGAAAATCAGTCCTTGGTGGCTGTGGCACAGACAAATCTTTAAATTCAAGATTTAAAGCTGGATTCTGGTTTTGGCTCCTCATTTTTCCCTCATGATTCGACGCTCTCCAGGCTCCCTCCTGCTGGGCCCCAGTTTTGTGTTCCTTGCCCAAGTTCTCAGCAGGTTTGGGATGTTCTGCTCTCCATGGTGACTCAGGATCACATTTTGGGATGGAAATGGGAGTTACTGCACAGTCCCTGTGGGGTTTAATGCTCTTGGTGTTCTCTGTAGAGATGTTGGGCACTTTGCTTTATTGTCCTGACAGGACCTTCCTTGCAGGGACAGCTGGCTTTGGACACTGCCACAGCTCCCAGCAGGAACTCTGTTTTCCCCTGTTGGTGATAACCTCACTCTTCTTTTAATCTCCTTTGTTGCTTCGTTGGCTCTGTTAAAATCTGGGCCTTGGACTAGGGGAGTGAGACTGAGCCTGGAAAAAAACAGGAGAGGAAAATCCAGATGAGGGAGGGGAGAATGGAGAGGGAGAAAGCAGAAATGTTGTTTTCAGATTCCAGTGGAAATGTGGTGTGGCGGGAGCTGATCCATGACAAGGATGGAGCTTGGAGGGATAAAAAACCAGATGCTGCAGAGCTGGATGAGGGTCTGGAGGAGCTGGGAGAGAACTGGGGGTCATGGAGAAGGGGGAAAACCAGTTTGAAGTCAGTGCCTTTCTTTTCCAACACTGATTTAAGCTTGGAGAAATGCCTGGGGGAAGAAAGCAATTCCTTGTGAGTCCAGCCTTTTCCTGGTGCCATCCCTCCCTTCCTGTTTGGTTTTTCCTTTGTAAGCAAATCAGCTGGAGGTGCTGTTGAGGAAATACTAGAGTTTTTCCTGATTATCTGGGAGGTGGGAAGCGTCAGACTGGTTGTGTGCTGTTTTTTTCTTTTAATTTCCTGGAATTTCAGGTGACTTTGGACAACTTGGTGTGGCTGAGGCTTGTACTGAAAGGTTGGAGTGAGAGTCAAACCTGTGGTTTGTGCTCAGGGCAACTGAGCTGGGTCATAGCAGAATAGAAAGGAGAGTTTTTAGTAAAATAGGGTTATTGGTATTGATCAAATCAAACCACATTCATGCAAAGCATGAATCTTCCAGTTAAAATAATTCCAGTGTGATCTGTTCTCTGTGGCTCTTGGGATATTTACATCTCAACAAGGCAACGTGCAGGCAGTGGGAAAAGTATCTCACAGGCCCCTCTAGACCTTAATTCCTGATTTACTGTGGAGCAGGAGAGGTGACAAGACAAAATGTGTCTGAATTCCAGGTGAGAAATGTTGGGATGTGAGGGGGGGAAATGAGGGAACCCCGTTTGTGAGCTGCTGGTTGGGATTGTGGGAACAATCCAGTGCCTCTGGTGGGTGACAGAGACAGCTAGAGATGGAGCTGGGATTTGGGGAGAAGGGGCTGGGGATCTGGGGTTGGGGGCAGGAGTTTGGGAGCAGGAGTTGGGGAACAGGAGTTTGGGAACAGAAGTTTGGGAGCTGGGCTTTGGGAGCAGGGGTTTGGATCTGGGATTTTGGGGAGCAGGAGTTTGGGAGCAGGGGTTTGGAGCAGGGGTTTGGATCTGGGATTTTGAGGAGCAGGGGTTGGGAGCAAGCAGGATTTCTTGGGAAGGGCTCATTTCCTGGGGTTTCCGTGGCAAAGCAGCACAAACCATTCCTGCAACCCCTCTGTTGATGCCATGGGCCCCAAATTCCCGCCTGGCTTTGTGATCCCAGATCTCCCTCCTTAGCCTCCGTTGCCACCATGTCCCTGAGCCACCCACGGGGACACTGGGGACTCTGCAAAGCCTCTCAGGTGTGGGGTTCCTGCACCCACCCCAGCAAGGTGTCCCTGGCCTTTGGAGGTGCTCAGGGGGATTCCCAGGTCCCTCTGGATCCTGGGAATCTGCAGCCCTGGCCTTGGGGTGTGCTGAGCTGGGGTTTGTTCTGGGTGTTCTGGGTGGCTCCTGTGAAATCTGGGGGCCTGGGAGTTTGCTTCTGCCAAATTTGGGGGTCTGGGGTTTTGTTCCTGTAGGATTTGGGGGTCTGGTTGTTTTTTGGGTGTCTGGGGTTATGTTGTCTTTAAATATGGGGGTCTGGGTGTTTGCTTCTGTAAAATGTCAGTGCCTGGGTGTCTGTTCCTGTACAATTTGGGTGTCTGGGTGTTTATTTCTGTACAATTTGGGTGTCTGGGTGTCTGTCTCTGTGGGGTTGAGGTATCTCTTCCTGTACAATCTGAATGTCTAGTGGCTGTTTCTGTGCAATTGTGTGTATCTGGGTGTTTGTTCCTGTTCCATTTGGGTGTTTATTTCTGTACTGTCTGGTGTCTGGGTGTCTGTTTCTGTTCAATGTGGGTGTCTGGGTGTTTATTTCTGTACAATTTGAGTGCCTGGGTGTCTGCTACTGTTCAGTTTGGGTGTCTGAATGTTTATTTCTGTTCAGTTTGGGTGTTTTTTCTGTACAATTTGAGTGTCTGGCTTTAGGTGATGGCTGAACCTCTCTCTGTCCTGCACCATCCTGCACTGCTTGAATCAGCTCTGTAGTTCTGTTGTCTTTAAAAATGGCATTTCCAGGATTGGGTCTGTCTGTCACAGGCCAGGGCAGTTCCACACCCAGAACTCAATTTTGTTCAGTTTGTTCCCTTTTCTCAGCAAAATGGGCTCGGGGGGCTGGTGGGGAGGGGTGCACTGGATAAATATCCCTGAAAGAAAACTCTTGTGCTCCCTCAGCTGAGGTTTGTGCTCCAATCTGGGGATAGAATATTCCAGCTGAAATTTCCTGGGGCTGAGGAGATTATTCAGAGAAATAGAGAATCAGCTCTGTAATTTCAGTTCTCACTCCGCTGACACTGAGGATGGAGGGTGTGGTGAGGGAGAGGAATATTCCAGAGCTGCCAAAACCTCCAAATCCAGGCTGGGAATTCCTGTTCAAAATATCCTCATGTGCAGCAGAGAAAAGAAAGCCCTCATTTTCTGATTTTATATACATTAGGAGGCTCCCAAAATTTGCTTCACAAGGTTTATTTGACAGAAAGAGCAGGGCCCTGGTGCTCATGGGGTGGTTCTGCAGCAAGGAAGTCTTACAAGGATCTTTGTTCTTCCCTTCCCTGCTCCTCCTGCCTTTCCCAAGTTTTCATCCTTCAGTTTTCTCCGGGTGCTTGAGCCGTGCCCGACAGTGCCGTCCTGTTCCGTGGGGTTTGGCTGTGGCACCAGGAGTGACAATAAATGCCATTGTCACCATCTCGGGCAGCAGAGGTTTGGGTGCCCTCTGCCACTTCTGGGAGAGTCATTCTGGGAATTTCTGCTGCAGGTTCTGTTTGTTGGGATCAGGCTTGGAAAATCCAGGTTTTCTGGACCCGTCTCGTATTTGGCAAGGAAATAAATGGTGGGGGAGTAAAAGGAGCCCACGGGGGTTGGGTTGGTTGGTGTCACTCAGCAGAGTTTTGGGATTAATGTGATCATTCCTAGGAATGTTTGAATGGATTGGGAACAAACACATTAATTTCTGGAGATGCTTGGGTTTGAGATTAATGTGGTAAATCCTGGGAATGCTTGAATGGGTTTGGAATAAATCTGTTCATTCCTGGGAATGTTTGATTTGGTTTGGAATAAATCTGTTCATTCCTGGGAATGTTTGATTGGGTTTGGAATAAATCTGTTCATTCCTGGGAATGTTTGATTGGGTTTGGGATTAATGTGGTCATTCTTGGGAGTGTTTGAATGGAACACATTCATTTCTGGAAATGTTTGATGGGGTTTGGGATAAATGTGGTCGTAACTGGGAATGTTTGAATGGCTTGAGGATAAACATGTTCATTCCTACAAATGTTTGAATGGACTGGGAACAAATGTATTCATTCCTGGCAATGTTTGATTCCTCTTTGGGATAAATCTATTCATTCCTGGGAGTGTTTGGGTTTGGGGCTAAAGGTGTTCATTCCTAGTTGTTTTTGAGTGGATTGGGGACAAATGTGTTCATCCCTGGGAATGTGTGAGTGGATTTGAGATAAACCTGTTCATTCCTGGGAATATTTAAATGGATTGAGAACAAATGTGTTCATGGATTGAGGATAAATGTATTCATTGCTGGGTATATTTCAATGGATTTGGGATAAATGTGTTCATGAACATTCCAGTTATTCCTGCCAGAAAAGTGCCACAGGGCACAGGTGGCTGCCCAAAAGTGTCCCCCTTGCCTCTGGTGGAGCACCCATCACATCCCAGGTGGATCCCTTCCAGGCTGGGATGGGCCCTGCACTTGTTGGGAGTCCCTGAGGATCCATTCTCACCTTCTCCCTGCCCTTGATCCAAGGGGTTTGGAGCAGCAAATCCCTGGGGAAAAGCTCCTTGTGGCCCTGAGCAGAGATCCAGCCTGTCCTGGCAGGGAGGGGAGCATGAACTGCAGGCAGGATTCCCCTGATCCCTGATCCCAGACCCATGTGGGATCTGGAGCTGCTCTTCACAGCCTTGTTCCACGTTCCCAGCCCTGTGAGGCCCTTTCCTTCCTCCCTTCCTTTCCCAGCCCTTGTTCTGCAGCTCTGCCCCAGCAGAGAATGAGATTTCAGTGTTTGCTCAAGAGCTGTGCTGGGCAGGAATCATTCCAGCACCTTCCCAGTGCCAGGGAATTGCCTTGGAATTGTCCCCCATGAGCTCCTCAGCCTGTTTGTTTTGTTTGTTGTTGTTTTTGTGGGTTTTTTCCTTGTTTGTTTGTTTGGGTTTTTTCATTGTGGGTTTGTTTTTGGTTTGTTTTTGTTTTTTTGTGCAACCTGCATGAAAATTTTCCATTTCCTTCCTATAACTGTCTG